GCAGTTTGGTGCTTAAAGCTACAAGTTACAAACACCCAAACCTTGGTGTTATATATTTATTCACCCAAACTTAGTTGGTGTATCAATGTAATTATAATTATTTTTCTATTTTTTTGTTGGATTAACTTTAAAGCTCAATTTTATATGCTTTTGCTCACAATAGTCTGATAGCTAGCTATCACTGTCTCCAGATTTTTTGGTAGTTCTCCCCCAACCCACTGGCCGCCTCCGCTGAAACTCTGGCAAGCTTTTAATTCTTAGTTTGGTTTTGTGTTTGTAAACTTCAGCATAAGTAATTTTTTAATAAGTAAATGGCCCAGTCCTCATATTCTGAACAGTTTGAATAAGGCTACCTGAATAACTAGACAACTTGGTTATACATATCCAATATCCATTTGCTTGTCAAATCAGATCAAACAGAGTCAACTCCCTTCAGAATCAACTTATATATCATCTGATGGGATCTAGGAAAAAAGTATTTCCAGTCACTGCCCCAGCTTATGGAATTATTTCCATATGGAGGTTCCTTCCTGAGTTGTAGCTGAGCAGTTAAGAACTGGCCTTTTCAGCTAGCTCAGGAGGAAGAAATGCTTTGAATTCAGAATGCATACACATGACTTTGCATATCTATTTTTAATCTTTTATGATGCTGTTGAGATTTCTAATGGGGGGGGTATCGTTTTTTATTGAAGACTTTTTAACATGAAGCTTCTCACTGTTGGCCACTGATATCCTCTGGGGCTGAGGAACATAACAATTTAAGGAATGAATAAATAAAGTTTCCTTTATAGTATATCTGAAATGCTGAACTAAATGAAACTAAACTGATTATAACACTGCTGGAGTGCACATATTACACATAATGTGCCTTTATTGGTTTCCAGGTTTAGAATGCAGTTTGTGAGCCCATCACTAGAAGTTTAATGTTATTTGTGACTTAATCAAGAAACTATGGCTTGGTATAATTTATGATAACTTCTCCTTGCTATGCTGCTGATGACTTCATATGCATTGAACCTCAAGCTCATTAAATGTTATCTCTGGTTTTTGTAAGAACTATTTCATAAAATCTGTTTTGACCTAGAAAGTGCTTGTGAAGTGGGGAAGTAATGAAAGGAGATAATTCCAGGCTTGATCCTCTCTTTCTCAGCCTTGAAATAGATAAGAATACATAGGGATTCTCTATCTGTGTTTGGAATGAGCAATTAGGTATAATGAGGGGCAGGGTGTGCTAAAACTATTGGTCTGGCTTAAAGTAGGATAGACTGATGATTTCTTTGCTTGTGATTTTATTGACTGGGAAGAAGGTAAATACAGTACATAATATCAATAGGATCTTCTGAATCAGGGCCAAGCTGGGAACTTAGAGGGAAGCTAAAATGATTTCATTGACTGCAGTCCCATGTCTCATGGTTCAGTCTTCAATTTTCTTTCCCAGTGCTTTAACTAGTAATTCTAAACCAACTTAGTGTCCTCCTTTAGTGTCTTATTTTTTGAATGAATAAACTAATGACTGAAGAGAAGAAACCAAGACAAAGGATAAAAGAATAAATTCATTTCTCATTTGTGTGCCTTCTGCTGAAGCCCCAGAGGAATGAAAAATGTGTTAAGGATGGTCTGGGTGATGTTACATTTTAATTGTTAAAATGAACATCAGCCTCAATGGAGGTTAATCTGGTTGACTAATTTCATTTCCCAGTAACTAAGCTAAGAACTCCATCCCACTCTTTTTCCTATTTCTATGAGTCCTTTGAGGTTTGCAGCAAAGGCCTTGGCCCTCTGTAGAGAAGGTGACCCCAGCATGTTAGAGGCAGCAGCCAACACCATTAAGGACAGTGATGTATGCAGGATAATTAACAGCTTGAATGAGACAGCGTTTATCTCTCTGGACCAATTGCCTGCCAAGCAGTGAAGAGATAAAAGGAAAGCCAACAAGCCCAAGTTTTGTCAGCACTTTGTGATCAAAGATACTGTCAAGCCCAAGACACTGTAAAAGACAAAACAAATTGCACATTAGAATGAAATATAGGACCTGGGTACCAGGAGAGGCAACGCAGCCCAGCAGGAATGGTACCGAATAATTTTCTCATGACATAGTGGAATTCACTGAGAGTTTATGCACTGGAGACAAATTCCTTGGATGTCCAATCACACTTGGCCGATAAGGAATTCCATCCTCCTCCTGCTGCTGCAGGTGCATTATATTTGCAATTTGTTGTACATTACCTACCTACATTAACCAGGTGCTATATGACTGCACTGAGCACCTTCTCCCCTTTGATTCCAAAATGATGCATAGTGCTAATTGGTACTACCTTGGATCAGATTAGAAAAGACTAATAAAACACTATGTATAATTAGAATTGCACAGATACAAAAGTAGGATGTAGGCATATATGCATACTTGCACACATTTCATTGGAATGGCAAGCTATCCTTCAATACTTTGCTATGCACCATCTCAGTTTAGATTCCCCTTGTGTTTGCACTGTGAAAAATAACTCCCATTTTCTGCATGGAAGACTCATTGAGTGGTGGGGAATGAAATCCAGCATGAGAAGTAAGAGCTTAATGGCAGCTATTAATGACTTCCATCTGTCACAGTAGGGTACCATTCTGCTTTTGCATTTCAAGAAGCCATCCACACAATAGCTAATTGTATGAGTAGTGCCATATTTAGTTTTGCTATTTAGCTACTACTAATTTAAAAACACATCCCAAAAATAAACTGTATAACACAAAAGTTTGGAAAATAAAAATGTAAGAAATAATTAAGCAGAATTTTTGGATGGAGATGGACAGAACAGGTTTTTATGGGTGTAAAATCTCAAGTTCCATCATTTTAGAATTTCAGAAATGTATTTTAATCCTCCACCTCTTTATTTTTCTGTGCAAAGGAGAAATTCAGGCTTTCAGCCTTAATGTTCATAGTATAAGTCAGTGTTAATTCACCATGTTGGCTGAGGAAATCATCCTAAAGTTGCCAGATTTGAAAACATTGGTATAAATAAATACTTTCAATGGAGGAAAGTATTTTGAGTAACACCGAGTATGACAGAAAATGAGGGTGATCTGGGAATAGGATGGGGATAGGTAGGAGAGAAGGCATGCCAACATAACTGAATGTGTCCTTCCCAATACTTGATATTCTGGGAATGGACATTGCTTGCCCGAGTGTTTGTTCCACAATTTTAGTGATTTATGTGAATGTAAATTTCAGTTCATGCTCGAAAATGTTAGTGAAATGAGTAACATGTGAACTTGGAAGTTGAATTCCAAAATCTATCCTCAGTTTATAAGTTCATTGATCATCTTTATTAGTGCTGAATATTTATTAAGAGAAGTTAGGAATTCTTGCAAATAATTCAATACAATCTATCTATCATAGTTTTTACTAGTTTATTTCTTCATATGTCCTTAAATAAGATTTTTTCTTGTAGAACATTGCCAATTTAAAAGTGTGAAATGTTTCAAGTTTGCTTCTAAATAACAAAAAAATAATAATCTTAAAGGCAATTTAGTTCTCCCTAGGCAGTGATGAAATGACTAATTACAAGCTAAAAATGTGCCAGTATGTCTGATGTTTTATGCAGCTTCAAAGCTAGAATATCAAGGAAAGATATCTAGTTTTTCCATGACGTGGGTGCAATCCCTCTTAGACCATGTAGGAAGAGATTACAGAATATCTGATTCCTTCATGTTTAACCTAAAGTGATACCATCTAGGATAATTGCCTTTGAACCTATCCTATACATACCAATGCATGTTAATTAACAGTGAAAACATTTAAAGATGAATGCTAGTACTAGGCTTTCTCAAATTTCTGTCCTTTAAATATTGGCAAAGAATTATGATAGTTACAACATGACATATTTGAAGAATCTTTGATTTAGTAAAAAAAATAATTATATGGAAACAAGTATTCTCCACTGTAGAGTCTTTGGTTCTTTCTGAGCTTGACTGCTTTCTTGCAGACATTTCATTACTGATTAGGTAACATCTTCAGTGCTAGAAGAGAGCGGTGTTCAAAAAGACCTCTTTCACTACTCAATACCCAGATAAGCAGGGGTTTGCACTACTAGACAAACAAGCAATAAATATCCTAGTCAAGGAGCTACCAACTTAGAGAAACAATCAAAGAGTAAGCTACAGCCTAATCAAGGAACTATTAAGGATAAAACAATGCTCCTATCAAGTTATTGTATGTAAACAGAGAACGAATCCTTTCTAGCATTGAAGATGTTACCTGGCCAAAACATTTGCAAGAAAAGAAAAAAGCTCAAACAGCACCAAGAACTCTATAATTCAGACCTGAGCTTCATGTATCCTTTTCTATTAGAAGCAAGTGTCCTGGAGAAGTTCCAGGCTGAAGCAAATGTGCTACCTTCCACATCTTTCATTCAAGGGAGAGTAAATTCATGTGTGTTTTCTCTTCTCCACAGTTGGGTGCAGGAGTTCCTAAATGAAGAGAATAGAGGTCTTGATGTGTTGGTGGATTATCTCGCTTTTGCACAGTGCTCTGTCACGTAAGTTCACTAAAAGTAATAATAAGGAACAAAGCAGAATTGTGATGAAGCTTCTCTTATAAACATAGCTTTAAAATTGGGAATTGCTTGGTCCAATTGTTCGGGGAATACAAGCCTGGGCAACCAATAATGTAAGCATGCCAGTAGCTGCTTTATCTCAGTAGTGTCACTCTCTAGCTAGGTTTGATATTGGCTAGAGATAATTAAATTAATTAAATTCCTTATTTAATTATAAACTGCTTGAAATACCAAAGGAATTTTGAGGTTATGTTCAGGAGAAGCCTGCTATCCTGTTTAATGGGGAAAGAGTCTAACAAATGCTTGATCTCACAGAAATAATTTCCATGATCTTTTGAGAATTCGACATATATTTTGTCTGTATATACATATGCATGAATTTGGGTATCTGATTATATGTCCAAGATCAGAAACCTATCCAAGATTATATATTGATTCAACTCTTGTCTCATCTCTGTGAAATAATTCTAGGATACCTAATCTAAGACAGGAATTAACTTTCCAATGAATCAATTGGCACAAAATAATTACAATATATATTAAACCTCAAATAAAATAGCTTGTAAATTTGTTGATAACAAGAAAGATGATAGTAACTGTTTATGCACAAATCAGGTTTGAGGCAGGAAAACAAGATTTCCCATCACATAGATTTCTTTTAGTTTTAATATTGAAATCGCACAGCAACAATTGGAAAACTTTTCCAAGGAAGGTTAATATCAGTCAGTTCCAACAGTGTCAAGAAAGAACCAGCAAGAGAAATATAATGTTATACTATTAAGAGTGTTTGCTGTTTTTGCTAAAATTGTGCTTCCAACTTAGGATGGATGAGTCATATAGGAGCATAAGACTTCCCCCCTTCTACTTCCTGGTACAGGAAACTAGAGGTGGCAAACTTGTAATTCTTTGCCTGGTTTTACAAACTTTAACTTAATTTCAGGAGACTTCTGCATGGTATCAGTTCTGAAAAAGTTATTTTTTATATTAAAGAAGCCAGTAAGAAAAAGAAAGTATGAGATTCTGCTAATAGACTAGCATTGGTCTTACTAAAATGAGCACTCTGTAAATTATTTTAAAGGAAACATAATACTTTGTAGAAAAAAACCCCTTTTCTATTAAATATATTTTAATCATATACAACTTCACTGCAGAGTAATTCCCCAATAACATGAAAAGTTTAAAGCCATAGTGATATCAGTGGTTGCTTCTCTGACAATGACTGTCAGTCTAACACAAGCTTACTACCAATTCATTTCTTCAAGGCCAAGTATTATTATTATTATTATTATTTATTAAATGTTTATGCCACCTATTTCCCAAGAAGGTGACTTTAGACAGCTTACAAGTTATAAAAGAATAGAAAAATAATTAAAATATTAAAACATTAAAACTACACAGATTAAGACCACAGAAGGTATATTGTAATCAGAACTAAGAGATGGACAGGATGGGGAATGAGGTCTTCTTACTCTCTCAACCACCTCCAGCAATGAGTAGCCTGTTCAGAACCCCAGGCCAACTAGCAAAGCCAAAAGGTTAGGAGCAATTCTCAAGCATAGGGCCACTGTGGAAAACATTCTTCTCCTTGAACCTGCATGCTGGAATTCCTTAGCAGAAAGGATCTCCAGCAGGCTGTTGTTGATGGCCCAAACTTGTCCCATCATGGAGAGACGGCTCCTCAGATGCCCTGGAACCAAGCCATGTAGGTCTTTAAAAATAACAACCTACACCTTGAATTGGACCTGGAAGCAAACTGGTAATCAATGCAGCTCATGAAGTAGTGGTTTTACATGTGTAGTCCTGGGATTCCCAAGGTTGTCTGCACCACTGCATTCTGTACCAGCTGTAGCTTGCAAATATCCTTCAAAGACAGCCCCATGTAGAATCTGTTGAAGTAATACATCTGTGAGATGATTAGGGCATGAGTTACCATGCTCAGTACCTCATGATCAGGTAAGGCTGCCATTGGGGCATAGCGTGAGGCCCTCCTAGCCCAACTGTCACCTGCTCTTGTTCAGGAGTCATGAGCATAGGAGAAGTCTTAAGTTGCCCACTGTACTGTCTGGGGTAGTGCAATTCTATCCAGAGTTAACAATGATAAACAATTGGATCCTGAAGTTCCTTGCACCCACAGCCATTCCATCTTGCCTGGGTTAAGCTGAAGCCTGTTGTCCCCTATCCAGATCCCTAGAGCCTCCAGGCACTGAGAAAGTATGGCCACAGTATCATTTGGATTACCAATGGATAGAGTATGTAAAACTATGTGTCATAGAGATGCATATACTGATGATATCTCTTCCTATGGGGTCAGATGATCTTACCCAGTGGTTTCATGTAAATGTTAAAAAGGAATGAAGAAAGTACCAAATACCTTCTGCTCCCTGTTAACATCTATTGGGACTGCCATTGGAGGAAGGAGCTGAACCAGTGCAATACAGTGCCAATCAGCCCCACAGCCCATAGCTGGCCAAAAGGACACTATGGTTAGTGGTATTGAAATCTGTAGAATAACCAACTCCCATCCTGCTCTTACCTGAGATCATCCACAAATGCAACCAATGCCATTTCCATCCCATAACCCAACCTAAAATCTGACTGAAAAGGATCCAGATAAACCATTTCATCCAGGACCCTCTGGAGCTGCAAGGCAACTACCTTTTCCATCAAGGGGAGAATCTGGATGAAAATCATCCAAAGAACCTGGATTCAATTATAGTTTCTTGAGGAGGTGGCATACCAAGGCCTCCTTAAATGGTGCTGGAAACACTTTCCCTTGCATTGATATGTTAATTCCACATGGACCCATTTGCAGGTCACCATCCTGAAGGTTTTCACCAAGCAGGAGAGATAAGAATCTATTAAGTGAGTACTTGCCTTAACAGCTCCTAAGATCCTGTCGACTTCCTCAAGTCCAATAGGATCAAACCATTCCAGATAATCTGGAAAGTTCATTTCCCAGGCATCTCCAATAGATATGCTCAACATTTGGATTCAAACTGAGAATGGACCTGAGTGATTTTATTCATTACGTGTTCAACAAATTCCTCTGCATGTCCCTGTAAATGAATATCAAAGCCCCACTCTTACTGCCATGAGGTGGGCCTTAATTGTGGCTCTGATCTGGGTCCAGCCAGCTTGATGACAATATTTCATTGATTTTAAATATTAATTATGACAATAAAACAACTGGCAGTTTATTTAAAAAATATTCCTAATCTGAAGTAATGTAGATATAGATTTGTATTTATGTGGAAGCCAACTTCCATGTAAAGTATAATGACTCCGCCTCCTAAGCCATCATTTCCCATGTTATTTTCACTTATTTCACCTAGAACATTGTTTCCTGAATCCAGCTAGTGAACCTCAGGAACCTAGTTAAAAAGAGAGAGAGAGAGAGAGAGAGAGAGAGAGACAACCCTGGAACCTGTAAGTCTGTACATACCGAAGTGAAAGACACAAAGACAGTTTGCTCAGGACCTTGGATAGCTCTGAGGCTGCCAAAGCAAAAATGGATCCTAAGCCATGTTTATTTCAGCACCGAGTTGAGAATTTCTACAAAGAGGAAAATTTATCGAAGCGTATACAATGGTCATGTCCTGAAAAACAGTTCTCCTTTCTCCTTCTATTTCATTGCCAAAGCCTCAATAAACCCCACCCGCCCACCTGTTGACGCACATTTGTGTTTGTGTGGCTCCAGGTTTGATATGGACAGCACTGACAATGGGAGCCCTGGGTCGGACAAGGGAAAGGCCCTGGACAGATCTGTAGAGGACCTCAGCAGAAGCAATTGCTCTCCCACACAGGGTTCCATCAAAACAAGGCACTTGACTGTCAGGTAACCAAATGAAATTCGGGTAGGTTTTCTTCAACGACTTTCCCACTTCTGAGATGAAGCATATGGGACAGGAAGAGAAGCAGTCCCATTTTATATTCTCCCTACACAACAAACTGCTCTAGAAAATCAAATGCAAAAATTATGCAAAAGCCAGCAAGATAAGTCTTCAACTGCGCCCCCCCACCAACCTTTTGGGCACCGTGGAGAGAGGATTTTCCATGGACTGCAAAGGTGTGGTTTCATGTGTTGCCTGTATCCCACGTATGGGGCTTCACTTGTTTGCATGGCCCGGTTTCTGGCATGCTGCAGACTGGTGCCAGTGCATGGACCAGGGATTGCGACCCCTGTCTTAAGTTTTGGCACATGTTAAAAAGCCTTTGCTTTAAAGTACCATTGACTATAATATAAGCACTGTGGAAATCAGAGGCCATCTCAGTTAGTACAAGTCACAAATTCTTACTCTTTTAAAACATGCCAGAATGATGCCAGATGAAAGAATTGAGTGACAGAGGATGGCAGGCTGATTAGGTGTAGGTTGTTTATTTATTTGTCTACGTATATACAAATATATATACTGGATGAATCTCAGAACCTTCATCTAAAACAATCAGAAATATTTTTAATTTAAGCTAGCTCCAAGTTTAAATGGAATAATGAGATTAATTGCCGTTTAAATTGAGCTCACTAGGAAGCAGTATTAAGAAATGCCGTACTCAGATTGTTTTCAGTTTTTTTTTAATTACTGTAGACCCTCTTAGTATTCAAACTGAAAGCTCTGATCCAATCAGATTTCTTAATATATATAAAAAAAACCTTTTCAAGAGATTACTCATTTTTCAATTTCTAGTTTTGAAATTAAAAGTCTAATTCTCCAGCAATGCAAAGGACATAGTATGCACTGTTCTTTCTCCAGAAAACAATGTCTAGAAAAAGAGCCAGGTTATAATTAGAAAGTTTTTAAACATTTTCTTGCACCTAGGGTTACTATATTAAGTAAACCAACCTAAAATAATACTATAGAGTCATGCATAATCTAGTTTCTAAACTTTTCACATCTATGATCACCTCAAAAGTAGTGCTTTAAATGACAAACCTAAGAAGATGGGGGCCTGTTCGTGTTAACTGCTAACTTTCCAACAAACTTGCAAAATTGGTTCTTCTTTTTCTCTTCTTTCTCTCATCTCTGTCCTAACTCCTTTTCTTTCTCCTTATTCTAACCTCACACTTCTTTTGCATGCTTTCATTGGGGAAATGCCTCATGGTAGGTACCCAGATGTTGTCTTCCTGGATAGGTGAAAAATAGTTGATGTAGTTTGCGGTAATCAGCTCCAGAGAGATTCAATACTATGATCTATTGGATCATGGTGTATAAAAAATATGTATGCCTTTTCTCTTTCGCATTTGTTTTTGAGAGGCAAAATCATACATTAAGACATTAATCGAGATGTGGCCTAGCATCTCTTAGGAGTGCACCAAAGAGCCCTTCAATGCTTTGTTAATGTGATTTCCTATGCAACTTTAGAAGCCTTTCTCTCTACTTACATTTCAGAAGTGAACTTAAAAACCAATACAATACTTTCCTTCAAGACTGGAGGGGCTGGGCCTTGTGATTCAATGGGCTAAATGCTATAACCGAGTTCTTAGGCTAACCAGCCTTTTTGTTACATTAAGGGCCTGATGGTGTTGACCTTGGAGAATGACTGACTTAACTGACCCAAGGTGGACTCCCAGTCTTGCTGGCAAATTTTTTCTCTCTCCAAACTTGGGATATACAGTGCTAAAAACTGTCACTGGGAGGGACAGGGAGGCGTCCACCTGAAGCATCCTATTTTTCCCTCCTGTCCTGCAGGGTTGCATTCTTCCACCTCCTTCAGGTGTTGCCATTTGAACCAGCAGATCCAAACATTCTTTCAACACCCCAGCATCCCCTCCTCCAGCGCCCCTGGCACCGAGCAGGACTGTAAGCCCAGGCCACCTGTCAACTCTTACTCACCCCGGTGAGCCTCTCCCAGACTTCATGAGATGAGAACCCTCTCCCCCACCAATGCAACCAAAGGGTGTAGGAGTGGCTGGGCAAGGACACGCTCACCCGTCTTGCACTTTTGTGTTCATGCACAGGCACGCCAGATACTGAACATTGGGTGCCTTGAGGGCTGGAAGTTTTTGCTAGTTTAAATATCCCAAATAAGGCAACCCATCTCCAAAAGTTCAGTCACTTGAAAAATCTGCATGCTTAGATTTTCATTGTTTTCATAGTCATCCCAAGGGGTTTTTGGTTTATTCGTATTGGCTTTAGTTTTTTTGTTGCTACTATCATGAGGCTTAGGGAACTGGCTGAGATGTACAGAGGTTGTGAAAAGGGAATGTTGAGTCATCAAATGAGCCTGAAATTTTGCAAAAATAATGTAGTTTCATCTTGCTTGTCTTCAGTCATGACATCTAGGAACCTTTTATAAGGCTGATGCCAAAGCCACCAGTTTTTCAGAATCTGAAGAACTGTTACCAAGATCCCTCCTCTTTATTGCCCTTCAAAAATATCCATGTGAAAGGCTTTTCTGTAGTCTATCAGCTCCGTTCTTGAGTTTTTTTTTCCAGACTTAATCATATGGAAGCAGCAATGCCCTAGAAACTGAACTGGAAGTCTTCACTGGTGACAATATCCTCTAGGCCAGAATTGTTGCCTTCCATATATGTTGGACTTTCACTTCTATAATATCCAGTCAGTCACAGCTAGAGATTATTGGGACTAAAGTGTAACACAGCTGCAGGACAACAGATAAGGTTATTCCTAGAAGCTATTTGTATTGGAAACTTAGAAGGAAAGGAACATTTAAACTACTAACCTGCTACTAATGCTGACTCTGCTGCTCTCCTTCAAATTCTTCTCCTATGCTATTCTTTATATTTTTGGACTGTTGTACGAGATTGACATCCACTGTCATTGAGCTGTTTCTCCCCCTCCCCCTCTCCCACTTTAAATTTATTTCTACCCCAGACTCAATCCGGCACACAGCAGGAAGGCATTACGGAACTCACGCATTGTCAGCCAGAAGGATGATGTTCACGTGTGCATTATGTGTCTCCGTGCCATTATGAATTATCAGGTAATTGAAGAAGAGGATAAGAAAGATGAAAGTTTCCATGTGTAGGAAATAGATGTCTTGGGAAACACATATATAACATTGGGAAGGGATTTTGAAACTTATCTAGATTTCAGAATTTATGAAGGAGGAAAAGAAAACCAGGAAACCTGTACCATACAAGAAAACCCATCCCCAATATTTCCAGGTAGGGCTGGAAAGTTTCCCATTTGAAGAGATAGTCTGAATAAACCAATGTCCAATATTGGGCAGTTTTCTAATATGTCATCTCAAATGACCCATAAATCAGGTGTTAGGAGTAATATGGCTATAAGCATTCTTAGAAAAATCCTAATGTTTTAACTTTAGAATATTGGGTTTCATTGTTTTGCAGTTCTCTGAGATCATGAGTTGTGAAATACAGAAGATACAATCTAGTGTTTTCTAAAATTGTTGGACTCTGTTATCTGTAATTAGGAAATGACCTGCTTGCATGGAGCTTTTAGTCATCAACATGTAACAGACATTTGGTTTTTGGCCACAGTATACAAATTGAAAAGCCCTTAAAGTCGTCAGTGGTGCTTGTTGCAAACCAATGTTAGATTTGATGAACCACCATTTTATTTATTTGTTTTTTAAAATATTTATGCAACTGCTCATCTTACATCAAACTCGGTAGCTCACAATCAAAAATTAAAACAACATAAACTCCATATTAAAATTTTTAAAAGCAAACATATTATAAATTTAAACACTAGAGTTTTCCTTACAATACAGGCAGATTTGTACAACCTGCCTGTAATGACTTCTGATAGGTAGGTAGGTATGCCTATGAAGCAATTTTATGTGATATTTTGCACTATTATTTTTGAAAGGAAGATGTTACCCAGTAGTGCTAGTCCCAGCAGACATGGCTGTGGGAATTGGTGGAATGCTGTCAGTTTATATATCCCAATATTTCAGCAACTATCAAATGTTTGGGGAGGCTCTGCTGTCTTAAGGAGTTTGGCTTTCTAAACTTTTATATATTATTGTTAAATGACATCACACAAAATTTAAAATATGAAAGTGTGTGTGATTTTAAAGCTCTTTATGCAAAGAAAAGTTAGGTTCATAATTATTACTTGAAAATGAGTAACCAGCAGTTTGGCTTGCCACAACCAATCATGTCCACGTGACCTTAGCTTACTAAAAAAGTATGTTCTTTGAATCTCTCTGTAATTAAAGAGCCATGCCTGTGTGTGTTTTCACTTTCAGTCATCTAGATTCACTTCAACTGCTAATTTGAGCTGCTAACTTTCTCACTTCTCCCTTAGTCTGGATTCAGCCTTGTGATGAACCATCCAGCCTGTGTAAATGAGATCACACTGAGCCTCAACAATAAGAATCCCAGGTAGGAATTCTGTCCTCCTTTATGGTTATCCTTCTCAGTCTGAATGATTATGTTAGCCAGTTGCTATCCCTGTCAGTGTCAGATATGAATTCATATATCATTTCTGCATTAAATTCTATTTTTATTTTAAAATATAATATCAAATGAGAGTTTTCTAGAATACATTACTTTTCAATATATTTTCTAAAAATGTGCAGTCTGTGGCACTTTGGCATGTATTTTGAGTTGAGAATGTAAGTGTCACATGGCACAAATGTTTGAGAGGCATGGAGCAGGTTGCTTCACTTCACAGTGCTGATTGCAATACAAACCAAACAAAATCCAGAAGCATCCTCACTTGTTCTCAGTATTCATTCATTTAGTTTTATGGAGTAAGTTACTAGAACTCGGGATTGCTTAAATGTCATAGTATGCTGAATAATAGTTCATATTAGCGCAAAGAATGCAATATTGGTATACTAGTAGTAAGGAATATGGAATATACCTTCGTTCAACAGAGAGATTCACACATTGCTTAAAATTGTAATGTAGTTTAGCTGTCTTTGCCTTAATGTGTTATGCAAGTCTAATCATCCACCTGCCTGTCTGTCTGTCTGTCTATCATTGGCCTCACTCTCTTCCAAGTCTGCCTATTCCATTCTTAGACTCTATTTTCTTTGGAAAAATGTAAAATCTTCTCATTGTCTTCCACAATTCAGAACTAAAGCTCTTGTCCTTGAGCTGTTGGCTGCTGTTTGTTTGGTCCGAGGAGGTCACGACATTATTCTGGCTGCCTTTGACAACTTCAAAGAGGTTTGTGAGTTCTATCTACTTGTTTTGTCACGGGTGTTTATTTATTTCCTTCAAATGGCAGTAAATTAGTCTTGATATTTCTTTTTTCTATCGAGTGGACCCCTTCTCAAAATATCTATCAGGACTAGTGCCAAAATATACTCTAGAACACGGGTGTCAAACTCACGGTGTCACGTTGCCATCACATGATGTTTCGTGACATTTTTCCCATTTGTGGAGCTGGGGTGATGTGGCCTGCATGTGACACATACGGCCCAGGGGCTACCAGTTTGACACCCCTGCTTTAGAAGATTATGCGTTAATTGGCCGCATTGCTTAATGTTCAGACTCTTTTATCTTTTCAAAATTGCTCCAGTGCAAATTATTCAATTTTGCTGTGAGTTTGTTTGAAACTGATTGGTACATTTCATTGCTACCTTACACAAAGTTCCAGCAGGATAGCAGAGGAGGAGGCATAGCACAGAGGAAGCATTCCCAGGACAGTTACTATGTGGAATAACAGATCCTGACCTTCTGTAGAAGCAGATCAATAATTATTTGTTTCTCAGAAGAAACTTTTCAACTGTAAGAGTGTAACATACTTTCGGATTTAAATCTGTGTGAGCAGAAGGCGATGTGCAGAGGCTGTGAAATGGGATAAATGTGAGGCCACAGCCATAGAAACTAATTCCTTATATTCTATTCTTGGATAGCTTTGCTGTTACTGCCTGAACATTATTCAGCCCTTGCCCAAGTGAACTGAAGTGCTAAGAGCTGAAGAATGAAAGCAGAGGTTTTAAAAGCTTCCACATTTTTTGTTGAAATTACGTTTCCAATGGCTTTTAAAAATGAAAGCAGAAGGAATACAAGAAGATATGTCTTCTCACTATAATGTAGTATGTACATATGAATAGTGAAAATGAATATAGTATCCATATATATGATTTAAAAATAATTTTGTATTTTGCACTGTTCCTTTTAAAATGCAAATTGAATCACTTGGGAGACAGAGTGGGAATTAATGAAATCACAGCAAGTCTTTCTGCCCTGCCATCCAGAAAAAAAAATATTTTTCATTTCAAGCTTGTGATTGCATCAGGAGGAAATTACCCATTTTTGCTTAACTTGGTTTTTAAGATATTCCTTGGGAATCGCTGGAGATGTTACAAAAGCCTCCGGAATACACTAAACAAACAAACAAATAAATAGAAATAGACGGGAAAGTTGGATTTTCATACTGCTCTCTGTAAATTGACCCATTGATATCTGACAAGAGACGACTTAAATTACCCAGGATGGTAGGCAGTAGAACAGGTGGTTTGCACTAAAAGTTTTTTAGAAGTGGGGAATTCTACTTACTGACAGAAAGATGCAAACTGATCCTATTCCTAAGATGGCTGAACAGTCTACAGTTGGCCCATAAAGTGGCTCATGAGAATCAGGCTTTAAAACAAGATTATTGAAATAAACTCAGAATACCAGTTAATTTAGCAGATATTAAAATAATGACCATCCTTAGAGAGCAAATGCATTAACTCAAAATCTGTTTAGGTCACTGAGCTTACTGGAATGAATACTAAATACTGTAATCTTCCGGTACCTATCAGGCTGCCAAGTATTCTGTTGTTCTAGAAGCAAATTCTTATAAATAAGTAATTATGAAACATTTATCACCACTGAGAGTGTGGCGACCATTGAGGGCTTTTGTCAGCCCTATCAGGTGGACCGGTTAGGAAACACAGCAAATAAGTTAATTATACATTACTGTAAAGCTACACTCACAGAATCTTGCAAATCCCATCATCTCCTTTATAGCCTGAGAAATTAGAGAGGGTCTCTTCTAAGCTCATTGCACTGTCCGTTATCTAGCTGCAGGCTATGATGTCTCTTATCTGGTTATTCTCTAGGCAGCATCTTTGCCTTATCTCCCAAGGTTTTTCCCACATGCCATCACAGTTTTATATTTACAGCCATCTGAAATGGACTGAGTCTATATAAGGGTATTTGGCTCTTTTGTGGGTTCAAAATACTTTCTGGAAAAGGTTTCTCCATTTAGAGATGGAAAGCAGTGCATCTGAGCATTTCGAGCATCTTAAATTACAAGACCAGGGCTGCAAAAATTTGGGTGGCCAATAGAAAATGTAACACGCTGCTGCTCTCTAATAATCATCTGGATTTTTGTAATCAGATCTCTTAGCTTATCTATATTATAAGTGGTAATTGGGCAAAAGAGGGGTAACAGCCTCCCAAGGAAGCACACTTTTTCCCCACATCTCTTATCAGCCACTACCCCTAAATCAACATCAAACATAGGTAGAGGAGCTGGCTGCATTGGTAATACTTGGAGCAGTAATACAATTTAAACTACATAACTAGTTAATTGTCACTTTTAGTAAGACAAATCAAATGGTAGTACCGTTACAAACATCTCATTTCAGAATTGTGCTAAAATTGTCGTGATTTCCTGTCTAAAACTATCATGGCTCCCATTCCAAGGAAATACGGGAAAGGGGTTTTCGACTATTCCCCCACGGAAGTCATTTTTCAGGACATAGGAACTAGGATTGGTGGCTTTACACTTTACTGAAAGAGTAAAGTAAGTGAGAGAAGATAGGAAACATGTGACATGGCAAAAGTTGGGCCAGCCAGCTGATAAGCAATGAAACACATAGTCAAATAGCATTACTATAACTGCTGAAGCTTACTAATCAGGATAGCGCTATAGCGGTGTATACAAACTGAGACTCAAAGCCATGTGTGTCCACAAACCTTCTCTCGGGAGAACGGTCTGCCAAACTACAATTTCAAATGTGACAAAAGGGGCAAAAACAAATATTAAACTATACACTATACATACACTATAATGGGGGGGGGGGGGCTGGTCCCACCTATTTTATCTTGATCTCACTAATTCTTTGGAATGCCACTAACAACATGTAACAAAGGCTAAACCATTATTGTTCTCTCAAAAGGCTTGCTAAAATCCTTTGGACTTGTCATCTAATCCTCCACAAACTAATTAAAACAAAAATGTTTTAAGCTGTGAGTGGTTCTATTTTTGTTGTCTGCTATGAAAGCACAGAGAATAAAATACTTGGGTTTGGTTGCTAGAAGCTACTAATATGTATATAAACAGTTTAAACTCTCTATTGCCATGGCAGGTAGGCAGTGTCCATCAAACAGAATATCTCCCCTTTCTCTCCTTAAAGGTTTGTGGTGAGAAGAACCATTTTGAAAAGCTGATGGATTATTTCCGAAATGAAGACAGCAACATAGATTTCATGGTAAGAAAAGGCAGCAGAGGGGCTGGTTGCTTGGTCGCCCATAAGACTTCCTCCAATACTCTTCTCAAACAGGCACACTCTGCCGGGAGATTAGTTGCTGTTCATGCCATGTTTCCTATTTGTAATTAACAAAGAATTAGGTACATGATTTACATTTATGCAGTAATTCATGCTTCGGGGTCAGAAAAGCAACCCTCAAAAACAACGTATCAGCCCTTATGAAGGCCCAGGTTGGAGAAATCTTGCAGAAACTGACAGTATGACAAACAATATCTCTACCTGTATTGGGCTTAGGTAAAATCTTTAGCATGCCTTCTGAATCATTTTCAAAGCATGTTCCGTCTTAGTAAGAGCTCAATAAAGCATCATTACAATTATCAATAATAAGCGGCTTAAAATTAAATCAACTATGTAATGATATTTCCCATAATTAAAAAAAAAAACCTCACTGAAACTCTCAGTATCAGTAAACACTTTTTCTAATTTTCAAAAAAGCCCAAAGTTATTGTGTATGTGTGTATGCGTGCGTGCGTGCGCGCACTCGCGCCTTCAAATCCATGTTGACTCCTTATGGCTGCTCAGGCAAGTCCTGCAGTTTTCTTCACAAGGTTTGGAACTGGCTTGCCATTGCCTGTTTCCTAAAGCTGAGAGAAAGTGATTGGCTCCATGTCACCCAGTTGGCTTTATACCTATTTTAGGAATAGAAGTCACAGTCTCTTAGTTTCTATTCTGACTAAAAATAGGATTTAGTCAAAATCCTGCAAGGTAGAATTTATTTATTTGGGCATTTCTCTGTCTCTGTCCCACCCTCCCTCCTCTCTCTCACCATCTCTCACCTTTTACCCTGGTCTATTAACCACTACACTAAACAGGTTCACCCAAAGTTAATATCTAATTATTTAAAAAATATAACTGATGTATATGTATGTAGGGATGTAATAAGCAAAAAGTATGAAAACCAAGTAACAAAAGTGTACAAGCCAAGACAGTCTTGATCCACCAAAATCCCAGCTCTTCAAAATTATAAGTCCTCTAGAAAGCTCACTTTTTCTTCTCCATTCCCAAACATCTAGGTGGCTTGTATGCAGTTCATCAATATTGTGGTTCATTCTGTGGAGAACATGAACTTTCGTGCCTTCTTACAATATCAGTTCACACAGTTGGGACTTGATGAGTACCTGCAGGTATGTGGTTATATTTTAATGGTTCTTAATTTCACCTTAATTGTTCTTCATTGGAAAAGTGCTTAGAAATTCTGAAATGTATACCACTGCTTGAAACAAGCAATAGACATTAGTTAACACAGCAAAAATGTCTTATTACTCAGAATAAGAAATAGTAATGGGATATTTGTGTGCTTCTCTACCTAATTTGTTGATGTTGTTTTATTACTTTTGGAAATTGTTCTCTATATGTTGATAGAACTTAGAATAAATGCCCTCATAGCTTTATTTGCCTTTTTATTTACTTTCTTTATAAACAGCACATTTCAATCTAATTAAGCATTCATTTTAAAACTGAAGCATTAATCTATATTATATACTATTTGAATGAATAAAAAATTATGCAATAAATTTGGAGGTGATAAGAGCATTTTCCAAAAATGTTTTGGGAAAATTTTCTGCCCTGGTTCTTTTAGCGAGCTTATTTGGGTTTTGTGTCATAAAACAACAACAAAAAATAATGCCTATATACATTTTATTTAAAAAAAAAAACAGAAGAAAAAGAAACATGTTCGGATGGATCATGTACTGATATTTATAATCCAAAAAGTTTATATTGTAAAGCAGGGGTTTCAAACTGGCAGCCTGTGGGCTGGATGTGTCATGTGCAGGCGACGCCCACCCCAGCTCCTCGAAGGGAAAAAACGTCGCGAAACATCACGTGACGGCAGCGCTGCGAGTTTGACACCCTTGCTTTAAAGAATGATCATCCTGGCCCAACTTTTAAATCAAGGTTTCCTTCCTGTGGTTTTAACAGAAGCTGCGTTGTACGGAAAGTGATAAACTGCAAGTGCAGATCCAAGCCTACCTGGATAATATCTTCGATGTTGGTGCCTTGCTGGAGGAAACCGAGACCAAAAATGCCATTCTGGAACACATAGAGGATTTGCAAGAGGAAGTTGGTCAGGTAGGGAGGGGGCTGACTGAACAAATCCTGTGGACAATGCACATCTTAAGATGGTCAAGAAGCAGCAATTCAGGAGGGTGAGGAGGTTGGTGACAACCAGGTCACTAGGAGAATGTATTCCATTCCTGCACGTGAAGTTCATATGCACAAAGTTCATCCTTGCTTGAGTACATAGGGTATTTGTTGACTCTGCTTTACAGTTGTGTCCCTCCCAAAACATATTCTCAATACATTGATTCTTTTCACAGCTCACTGAGAAACTCCAGGATGCAGAAAATGAATCTGAGGCCAAAATTGCTGAGCTAGAGAAACAGCTGTATCAGTCACGCAGTGAGTTGGAGATCCTGAAAGCAAGAACAAGTGATGAGCCGGTACGGAAAAGTGTTAGGAGAACTTTTGATCAGAATGGATTTCAAAATAAGATTAGGGAAAGAAATTACATTCTTTGTTATCAGCATACCACATTTCAGGTTGTTGCACTCAAACCCTAGTTGATATTGACACTGTGTGTTTCAATTTTTTAAAAAAATCTACGTCTACTGCATACATTTTAAAACTATCACATGGAACTCATGTACATGCAGCCTCTTGCATCACCATCTCATTAGAAGTGGGAAAAGAAATGCAAAGCATTTCAAGCTAAAACATTCTGGATCTGAAACATCCCCTTCCAACTTTATAAAGGCTGATCTTACAAGAAGAATTCAGGCTCACCTCAACCTTATTTGAACAGATCTAACCTCAAAATAGATTGTTCCAGCTGTGCAACTAAAACCAGATTCAGAAATTCTGGTAAGCTCAGAATCTTTGAAATAAATTGCATACGTAATTAGGAGATCTGCTGCATCAGGCCAAGTATCCACTTAACATAGTCGCCCCTCCACAGAGCTCGCAAGCTGCCCATGGGCATATATGTAAAATTAATTGGAGGTGATGGATGATGAAGGTCTTCTAAATAGTGGAATAATATTAATGTGCTCAACATAATTACTATGTACACATGAAAGGGCTGATCTGATTATTCACTCTTTCTCTCACCTTTTTTTCTCCGCAACAATCAGTCTGGAGATGGCTAGTTAGTGATTGGTCAACTGATTAGCCATCCCAGTTTAATTCTCCTAGCTGTCACAAAAATTAGTTGGAAATTTGTATCCTTTCTACCCTCAATTCCTGGCTTTTAAATGTATTTATTTATTTGCTTGTTTGTTTTATTTCCTAAAGTTTAAAAAAATGTGGTGCAGGTAGCTCTATAACAGCCAGTCATGTGGCTAGTTTCCTCACTCTTCATTTCTTTCTTTCTTTCTTTCTTTCTTTCTTTCTTTCTTTCTTTCTTT